GAAGCTGAACCGGAAACGGCTTGTCATTGTGCTGGAGGACCAGATTTACCTCTATGATATCCAGACAATGAAGCTCCTGTATACCATCGAGACCTCTCCCAATCCCAACGGTAAGGCTGCGACTACATTTGGATGTGGATGTGCTAGATTGTCTAACTGCTGGCAGCACTATGTGCCCTCTCCCCGTCCTCCGATAACTGCTATCTGGCATACCCTCTGCCGCAAAAGGCACCGCCCTCTACGTTCCAACCTCCAGCTCACGCTCCTCCGGGGACGACTCATGTTACACCTACAAGTGGCGAGGTCTTGATCTTTGATACTTTAAAGCTGGAAGCGATCAACGTTATTGAAGCGCATCGGTCTCCGCTAGCGTGCATCACGTTGAACAGTGATGGAACACTTATAGCCACGGCATCGGACAAGGGTACTATCATACGGGTATTCTCTGTCCCCGACGGGCGCAAGCTTTACCAGTTCCGGCGAGGGTCGATACCATCCAGAATCTACAGCATGTCTTTCAACACCACCTCGACTCTCCTTTGTGTATCTTCTTCCACGGAAACGATCCACTTATTCAAATTAAGCCTTCAATCACAGTCACCGGACGCCACACCATCTTCTTCACTTACAGCCGCTGATCGAAGGTCCAGCCAAAGCTCATTGGGACAATTATCTGACGCCGATGACAGGGTTGGAGATATGGGCTCCTCCGAGCTTGCGTCGAGGAAACACAATGGAACTCTGATGGGCATGATCCGGCGCACCTCACAAAATGTTGGCAGCACATTTGCTGCCAAGGTTGGAGGCTACCTCCCCAAGGGAGTCAGCGAGATGTGGGAGCCCGCCCGAGACTTCGCTTGGATCAAACTACCAAAATCTAACCCAGGGCCCGGAGCAAATGGGAACAACGGCCCGTTGCGCAGTGTGGTCGCTATGAGCGCCAACACTCCCCAGGTTATGGTGGTGACTAGCGACGGCAACTTTTATGTGTTCAACATCGATCTCTCCAAGGGTGGTGAGGGGACGTTGACTAAGCAATACTCGTGAGCCTGCTTTCCCTATCAGTATAAAAAGACTGGTATTGACTGATAAATAGTGTGCTCGATACAAATGACCGCCTGGGTTACTCCGTGATGGACTATTAATTTCGCCATGATACCACTCGTTTACGTCTACTACTCCTACATGTCGATCGTTACAGCGCCCGTTGCATTTTATTTTGATTTGAAGCGTCTATAGTATACTTCTAATGAGGCCATTGTACGCCTTCCTATTCGCCCTTACTTTATCGTTCAAGCCCTTCTTGGGGCATTACTGCTACCAGTTCCTCAGTGTCAATTTTCTGAGCCCTCTACATCGCATGAGCATGACTTTCTGACCGTCTCAATGCTCTTGCCATGTAACCCAAAATGTCTTGGGATCCAGGGTAACTTTGTGACGGAGGTCGGTTCCGCATTAACTGTCATGCAGTTTCTGATTTCCGAGCGCTGTACTATGTGGTTGTACTTTATGCATACGAACTTAGTCTGACACCCACACGACTCCTCCCCCTTACCTAAGATTCTAAAGCCTGTAACGCAATCGTATTGCACCAGACTAATATCTGAATTTTATGTATCAGATATTTGTATCACCAATAGGCCGTATGAGTGGGCTGGCTTCCATTGCCTGTCATACTCGATAGCAACTCATGTAGCCCATCTCCCTCTTCCATTCCATGCACTTCATCCCCCCAGGTAGCTAACTAGCAAGGGCCTTTTCCATCCAACTCACCCGTTAACACGATTCCTCTTCATTTTACGGGAAATAATGACATCCGTCCCGTCCATAAGGTCTGCCGCCACGGACGATCAATTCTTGTAATCCTATCATATTTCAGAGAGATCTTCTATATGGCTGGGGAACAACCAGTTCAACAATGCAGGTTAACGTTATCTCATTTCTCAACGCCGGATACAACAAGCATCACGAATTTAAACTGTCAGCGCATGACCACGCACAGAACTCTGTAGTTGCTTTGCGAGACACAATAATATTGATGTTAAATCCGTGAGTTCCGCCAATCATTATGAAGTCCCAACGAGGACCACTAGAATGCTCCAAGAGATCCAATCAACTCCTACAAGTGAAGTATTTGCCGGTTAGATATGTAGTAGTGTAAGTAAGTCTGTTCAGTTCCGTTATTCCGTACTACGTCCTGGGCTAGTAGGAACAATCATTTCCGCGGGCTCCACCTTCCACGTTATGTGGGTATCAGTGCTTTAGTGCTTACTGTTCCTGCCTCGCCGTTTCCCCAATTTGGAAAGAAACAGGGGTGGGACAGAGCAGAGAGAGGCACTGTGCGAGGAGAAAGACAAAGAGACGCGAGAAGGGGGAGAGAGAGAAGTGGATCAAGCAATGCACGTTTGGGCACATCTTCCCCGCTCATCAGAGACCGTGAGCAGGACTAGGAGCCGGGGATGACACGCGTCTCTTTCATTTAAAGCGTCCCAGACACCTCCAGCACCTTTCAATATCAGCCAGTAACGACAATCCAATTCCCCCTCCTCACCTTCAGACAGATCAATCATGGCGGCCGCTGCCTTGGACCAGCTTAGATCTATCTTTCCCGATGATAGTACCGATAAAGTGGTGATCAATGAATCCGCTGACAAGTACCAAGCTGCCGTGACCTGCCCTTGGTCACAGACTTGCTGGACTTCTGCGGCCGCATATGTCTACCTCAGTACTGTTCAGGAGCTAACCAAAGCCCTGGCTATTGTACAAGAGACTGGTACCAAGTTCGCTGTCCGCACGACCGGCCATAACCCGAATGCAGGATTCAGTAGTGCCGGTGAAGCAGCAGTGGTGTTAGATATCAGGCAGCTTAAATCCAAAGAACTACTCTCTGATCAAGGGACTGCACGCTTTGGGTCGGGAAATACCTGGGGTGAGGTATATGCTTGGTTGGAGGAGCGAGGACTATCGGCCATTGGGGGGAGGGATTCCCAAGTAGGACTAGGAGGCTTTCTCTTAGGGGGTATGTGTGCTTGCTTGCTTTCTTGCCTCTCTCTCTCTCTCTCTCTTTCTCTCCTCTTGAAACAATTTACTGACTATCACTCATTAGGAGGTATGGGGGCTTTGCCTAATCTTTATGGACTCGGCGCTGATGGTGTGAAGAACTTTGAAGTAAGTTCAAGATGATCGTTGGCTTTTCCCTTTCTACTTCGGCAGGGAATTGTGTATGGGGTAGGACAGGATCAGGATTCATAGTTAACATGTTCTCCAGATCTTACTAGCAGATGGCCGCCTCGTCAATGCTAATAGAAATGAGAACTCCGATCTCTACCGTGCCCTGAAGGGTGGTGGCTCTAATTTTGGTATGTCTAGTGGCAAACTTATCTTCAGAATATAGTACGACTAAACTCACTATCACAACAGGTATTGTGACACGGTTTGATCTTGAAACTCACCCTTTGATAAAGGTTCAATATACCATCAACCTCTATAATCCTGAGGATTATGTGGCAATCAACCAGGCTACTTTCGAAGTTCAACAAACTATGGAGGAAGATCCTAGGATTGGGCTGTTCACCAATTTCAATAACGGCTTTGTTGCAGTAGGCCTACTCTATGGAGACCATCCAGCTGAGTCTGAGGCCCGGGAAACTTTTAAGCCGTTTCACAACCTCAAAAGCCTGATGACAACAGTCCTACCCTCTACGAATGGCACCCTTTTATCTCTAGCTCAAGCTATGGGCCATGCCCAGACACCCCTCAAGTAAGTACTAGTCTAAATCGGAACCTACTCGTATAGTTACTAACATATATACAGACGGGCTATTTGTACAGTTACCACCCGAAACTCACCTGAGCTTTACGACGAAGTGTATAAAGCCTGGGTAGAGGTCCGTAAGACCCTTCCAACTGATACTGTCCTACATTATACCATTCAGCCATTTGGTAAAGCTGCTGTTCAAGCTGGTAAAGAACGTGGTGAGAATATCATGGGTCACGAGAGTGTTCCACAATGCTGTATGATCTGCTCCCCTTTCTCTGTATGTTGGTTATTGAGGCTAACGAAACTTCACCTAATTCTAATAGGGTGGGTTTTCACCTGTGAATGGCCTAAAGATGGCGATGATGCTGCTGCACAAAGTGCCGTGGATATCATATCTGAAAAAGTACAGTACCTGGCCAAGGAGAAAGGCCTCCTTCTGGATTTCAAGTGTATGAGCTTTGCTACCGCTTCGCAGAAGGTTCTGGGCAGCTACGGGGTCGATAATATTAAGCGGATGCAGGAGGTAGCGGCCAAGTATGACCCTGAAGGCGTTTTCCAGAAGCTGCAGAATGGTGGCTTTCTTCTACGCGACAATGTCTAGGTATGCACAGAGGGGGTACTCTGACACAGTCCAATAGCAATGCGAGGCCTTCTCTGTTCTCGAGCGTGCCAATTCCGCAAAATGTACATGTAGAGCGGCACCAGCCAATATGATTCTTTAGATCTGTATGAGATATATTGTAGGAAAAGAATATAGAGAAAAGATATCATGCAAACAAAGGTCTATATATGAAGAGTAAAATATTCAAAAATCAGAATATAGTAGAACATGTTGTTACGAGATTGTCCATGACGCATTTACAAAGGATTGACTATGGGTATTATAATTAGTTAATAGAGACTGGGGATAGTTTTATTCCGAAGTACATGATTACGAGAATAACACCCAAGAGAATAACCAACTCCAGACTGTAACCCAGGAAGATTGCCACCTGCTATCTATTTTGGATTGTGCTGGGACTTTCTCTTATTCCTATCTTTGCACTCTATAGTACCAACCTAACTAGACTGCGAACCACAATACCGTCCCCACTCCCCGCAGATCATGTAATTTTCATCATCGCATGTCAGATCATTACATTATCAGTAACCACCAAGGTACAATATCTTCTGCATCTTCATCTACAGCTTCCACACGCCTCAACCAGCCATTGGCACCCACCTACATACCTCGCTCGCCATGCTCCCACCCCCCGATGACCCCGACTCTACCACCGACACAACAATCACGTCCACCAGATCACCCCTCCCCCTCACCACCGACAATGCCACCACCAACCAGAACAACCACCACCACCACCACCCCCGCAAACCAAAACCCACGCTCCTTAACCCCCTTCAAAAAGGCATCACAACCTACCTAACCCACCACCACACCGATGCAATCCTCCCCCCTTCCTCCCTTCCCAAACGCTTCACCATCTATGCCCCCCTCCTCCTCCTTCCCGTCAACGCCCTCACGACCCCACCCGCCTGGCACACCCTCTACGCCTCCCTAACCGCATCTCAAAGGAACACTCTCTACGAATGCATTCTCTCCGCCTTCACGCGCTACAACCTCACCCACATCGCCATCAACGCCCCCATCGCATTAACCGACGCGCAAGGCACCGAGAACCGCATGCGCAGTCCCGGCGGCTTACTCCCACTACACGGGGATTTTGGGCCCTCGCCCAGCACAATCCTGAATCTGGATGCGCCAACAGCGGAGGACCTGGGGCGTGCGTTGTGGGTGAGTACGGTGCAAAACCATGGCATTGAGCAGTTTTGGGCACCTATGTATACGATGTTCTCGAGGGGGAATGTTACGGAGAAGGCAAGGATATTGGATGGCATGGAGGGGTTGCGCAGGGAGAATATGGAGGGGCCAGGAATGAGTGTGGTGGATATGTATGCGGGGATTGGGTATTTTGTGTTTTCGTACCTGAGGCAAGGGGTGCGGAGGGTTTGGGGGTGGGAGATTAATGGCTGGTCCGTGGAGGGGTTGCGGAGGGGGTGTATGGCTAATGGGTGGGGGTGTAGGGTTGTTAAGGTTGATGGTGATGGGGTATTGGAAGGGGGTATAGGGGTGGAGGAGTTGGTGGATGGGTTGAGAGATGAGGATAGAGTGGTGGTGTTTCATGGGGATAATCGGTTTGCGGCGCGGGTTTTGGCACAGATCAGGCATGTGATGGAGGCGCGCGGGCGGTGGGCGCCTGTCAGGCATGTTAATTTGGGCTTGTTGCCCTCGTCGGCGGCTGCTTGGGGGGATGCCTGTCGGATGGTGGATGGACGGTTGGGGGGTTGGCTGCATGTGCATGAGAATGTGGATGTGCGGCGCATTGAGGAGATGAGGGATCATATCACGAAGGAGATTGGGAGGTTAAGGGCCACGGCTTTGGAGTTTGAAGATGTGGTGGCGGAGTGTCGGCATGTTGAACAGGTCAAGACTTACGCTCCGGGGGTGATGCATTGCGTGTTTGATGTCAAGGTGCCGGCACTGGAGTTATAACGCTCATTGACGCTTCGTTTGGATTGGGTTGGATTTCCAAGGGGTATGTATCATCACCCGCGAGGATGCTCGTCTCATCACACATTTATTATGTACAATATCATCATCAATTACAACAACAACAACAAAGGAATCTAATGTACACTCATCTAAGCTTGCTTGAGGAACTTCTGCGGTATGTTGGCCTCGACGATCTGCATGCTCTCAAGCTGCTCGAGGCGCTCCATCGCAAGATCTTCCTCGTCGTGCCGCCGGAAGTGCTCGATATCTTCGGGGTGGTTGAGCTCCTCCTCTGTCGCATCTTCGCCATGGTATTTCTCGAAGTGGTGGATCTCGTACTCATACTCAATGTCGCCGTGGTGGCCTGGACCGAAACCCAGATCGGGTAGCCGAGTGCCCTCGGCGATGATGCGCATCCAGTTGTCACGGGTGATGAAGCCAGTATTGGTGGGGTCGAAGAGAGTGAACACTTCTCTTAAGGCCTGACTCTTTCGATCCTCCGTGGCACCCGCATTCGTCTCATCGTCCATGCCATATGTCTTGCGCACTTCCTCGGGGGTCCATGCCCCAGATTCATCATAGTCGTGAAGGGAGAAGAAGGAAGCAGCGTCGAAGGCATCAATGTGATGCTCCTCTGTTTAATTGGGGCCAGAGAAGTCAGTCACACAATTGCCCACTTTGGCGGAACGGATATCAACATGATCGATAGTGGTAATTACCTTGCATATGCCGGGTGGCCCAATCCGACGAGGGCGGCTGGTCGGGGTGAGAACCGTGGGCACTCACGAAGCTGCCGCTCAGGGCCAATAGAGCAGTAGCGAGGACGACGAGCATTGTCGGGGGCGATTGAAGCACAAACGGGTGGAGATATTTATAGAGCCACGAGCGCCAGGCGAAGATCCGACGAGTCGTAAAAATTGCAGAATGAGATCTCGCGAATGTGACAGATCGCCGGGACAAAGAAAGGGATGGCTGAATTCTGGCTTACCTTCACTGGCTCCATTCCAACCCAGTAGTCCAAAGTCTTGGTTCAACAGCTGGGGTTCCGGTTTGCTTGGTTTGCACTGCCGGTGGTCCGACTTTCGTTTAGCCGGTTTTGGATCATCATCAAAAGATTCTCGACCTCCCGCCGATATTTCCTCCCCCTCCGCCCCCTTCACCTTCCCCCCGACGTCGATTTGTCCGCCATTGGTTGTCGGGTCCTTGTGATCAATCAATTGGTCACATTCTCATCCTCTGATCCTCGTCATTGGAGTCGGTTCACGGCAGAAATGACTTGAGAATGCAAGGTCTTTGGTCCCGCGCCGCTCCGGCGCAATCCACCTGCCGCTGCGTCTCTTGCTTAAGTACCGTCTCCAATGGGGTGGCCTCGAGAGGTACTTCGGCAGCCAGCAAGAAACGCCTCCGGATCGGAAACTCAGTAACAGCACTATACACCAGCATCTTCGCCGCCGCCGCTTTGGCAGACGCCCAGGCCAAGGGCCAACGCCGTCACGAATGGGAGGAAAAGATCGCCGCAGTCAAGGAAGAGGTCATTGAGCTGGTGGATGAGGAACAGCGTCTGGTGGAGGCTCTTATGTCGCGTCGGAAGCAGGGATTTCTCAATGGATCGTTACAGACCAGACAGTTCGGCACAGCGACTCGGCCGGCACCTATGAGATACCAATGGCCCAGGAGGAACGCACCGTTCGCGTCTTTCCACTCAACGACTGCCTTTGCGAATGAGAGAGATAATCAGATTATCCGTGATCTGGTCGCAGAAAGCGAGGATCCGCTGGCGGAGGATGCAAATGAGGACTATGGCCTATCGCTGGAGGATGACGATACACCCACATGGCTCACTGGTGATGTGGTCCGTCAGAAGGTCATCCGGAAGCTTGCGCTTAAACAACTTGCCATTAGGCTTCTGTTGCGGCCGGCGATCGCCCACAGCTATCAGGGTGTCCAGATGAACTACAGTGCCGACTTCTCAATACCCCAGTTGAGAGTGCCGCAGTTGCTAGCGGAACTGAACAGCCTTCGGCGCAGGATGCGTCAAGTGAAGGGCTCGGAGAAGGCTAATATTGATGACTTGGCCAAGGACCTCCGCGTACACTCGGTACGACACATGACGGAAGAGCGCAATCGGCTCGATAGGGACGTTCAACGTGATACCGAAATCTATATGCGGAATGAGATGCCCTTGCAGGAACTACTCCTCCGGCTAGCCAACAATCTGATGCAATGTACGGACCCGGACCGGCCAGAAGTCATAAAGAAGATGATTCTTGCGTTCACCAAGACTCGTCAAAACGATCTGTGTGATCTGATCTTGAAGACTATCCTTCCACACAAGTTCCCGCTCAGCGCCTCTCTCATCCTCACGATCCTGACCTTCTTCCGTAAATCTAAGAACCTCATGGGATTTGACATATTCCTGGAGATGTTGAACGGACACGGCTACCCAGTCGATATGAATGGCTTGGGTCTGTACCAGCGCCAGGTGGTCAATGGAGTTGAGATTATCGTCCCACCGGTGGATTCAGCGAACCCTGTCATCTACGCCACTCTTATTGTATCTTGTCTACGCTTCGATCAACCGGATCGTGCCGATGCCTACCTCCTAGCTGCGAGGTCGGCAGGGCATATGGACGACTTTGCTATCCTCAACTCCTACCTGCGGTTCTGTGCTATCCGTACCGACTGGGAAAAGGGAGTCCAGACCCTCAAGAGAACACTGGCGTTCATGGTTTCGTCAACAGAGCACCAACTATTCCGCCTCGAGCGACTCATCGTGTTAATGGTACACATGTGTGATGCCTGCGAACAATACGACATGTCCGAGGCCATCATCACATCGGCCATGAACAGCGGTTTCAACTGGGAAGCAGCCAGCAAGCAACTGGACATCAAGTCTTCCCACGACCCTCACCACGAGAGATGGTCATCGGCAGCGGAGGCCGCACCAAAGGATATGCAAGAGAAGCCCGCATGGGAGAAATCCTACGCCTTTGTGAACGTCATGAACGAGCGGCTGAGCGCCTACGAGGGCAAATCGCCCTCTAAGAAGTGGCAAGACATGATAGAGCTCTACTCCCAGCAGGTCCTGACCGCCATGCTCGCCGGATCCCCAGCGTCAGCCAACGCCCCTAAAGCGCCCGAGGTAGTCTTCGAAGACAAGGACCGCCAGAGCCTGCTCCAAGAAATCAGCAAGCAGGTCGAAAAAGCCAAAAAGGAGAACGAGTCCACAGCTGCAGCCCAGGAACAAGAAATTTCCTCCCTGAAGGCCGAAATCTCACAACTCAAACAAATGGTCTTCGACCTCCACCAGACCCGCAAGCAGGAGTCTACGATACCGTCGCCCCCTCCCTCTCCCACTCGCTCTAGCCACCACCACCAAGACCACCTCCTCCGTCGAAAACACGAACACATGGCTCCTACTCCGGACCTCGAACCTCCTTTCAACAAAGTCAGTATTCGTTACATGAAGTCGTAGGCTCAGTCCCCTTGGCCTTGAAGGCACTCTCCTTCAGTCTCTGGGCAATGAGACTGCATTCCTCGGAGCATCCTCTTATTACCCTTTCCCTTCTCTCCCTCCCGCTCAAATCCAGATGGAACATACTCCCTCCGTATACCCATCCCATCCTATACCTATATTATACCACTCGTGTACGGTGATAAGTGTCGATGATAAGCTCGCCAACTTCTGGCCCGCATTGGGATTGCTTTGATGTTTTTATATCTCTAGGTGGTCGATTCAGCCTACCTGGAACATTTTGTACAGTATCTACACTATAGCTTGTACTTTTTTTTTTACCTTTCAATTTCTCTTGTGATGATAAATAGGGGTTAGAATTGAGCGTTGGAATCCTACTATTCCGTTTGGATATTTGCTCGTCTAGACTCTTGAATAGCGTGACTTAAGTTGTCGGTACTATCGTAGACCTGAGGAGATCTGGGGTTTTTGTTCTCTATTACGTATAGTGGCAGTAGGATTATGCGCACGTTAGTAGCGGTTTCTGTTTGCTACTATTTCGTATCATGTTGTGGCGGACGGGGGGTGGTTGTATGATAGTGTTTAAGGATTTATTGACTACAATGTGCACTGGGACGATCCAATTATGGTCACATATGTCACAGGGCAAACTTTCTTTCTAGTCCGTACCTGTATCTAAGTACGGAGATAGATTTGATGAGATGAAGATGCAATAAATACTATGAAGTCCCCGGGAGGGCCAAAGCCCATAAAAGAAAGGAAAAAAGCCCGGAGTCGTGAAGACAATAAGTAACAGATGAAAGTAGGCAATACTGAAAGCACGTAGGAAATGCAATGAACCGGATACACCCTTTTAATTGAGCTGCATGATTATCATGGGCATGAAATAAAGAAAACATGATCTATAGATATCGTGACAACAAAGAATTAAACCTAGTCTATCGTCTTCTGCTGGAATCAGAGCGCATCTTCTCCTTGCGGGAAAGTCTCTCAGCAGCGCGAAGGAGGGAGGAGCGGATCTCGCCCTTGGGGAAGCCGGAGATGTCGTAGTAAGTGGGTGCGATGTCCTGGGAGACACTGTTAGAACTGGTTCTGAGTGTTTGATTGAGGGTCAAGGTAAGACTTACAATGAGCCATTCGGGCTTGACAGCCGTGACAGTCCGAATGTAATTCTTGGTGGTGAGGACGAATTCGTTGTAGAGAACCCATTCCGCTTCGTGGCCCAAGACGGTCGAGGGGTGCAAAAGAACGTTCTGGTTGTCCTTGATCGTGACATACATGTTCTTGCCCTGAGTCTCCTTCTTGGCGACCTGCATGAAGAAGCCTGCGCACAGCGCACGGCGGATGTTTTCGTAATATTTCTTGTCCTCGAAGGGGGTGGACACCATCTCGAGTTCCTCACGTTCCATGATGCGCAGAAGCTGCATGCGCACGTTGTCTGCCGATTGCAGCGATCTAAGAGAGAGGAAGTGGTCGTGACACCATTGCTTCAAGTTCTCCTGCGCTTCAGGGCTCTTAAAAGCAT